CCTTCTTCCTTCAAGGGACATGCTAAGAGGAGCCAGCAGCAATTGGCACAGGGGAAGGCAGCTGAGGCACGGTGTGCCAGGAGCAAGCACAGGCATGGAGCTGTCCCTCACCTCTCTGAGCTGCCACAGCTAATGGCACCTGCCTAATGGTGCAGGTACCAAACCCACTGGCTGCTCCAAGACCTCTGCTCCTCGGGGCAGTACAGCTGTTTGTAAAAAGGGGCCTGCAGCCAAGGGCAGGGGCTGTTCAGGGGAGTTCATCAACGAGCCTGCACCATGTTCATACACAAAAGTCACTGGCACCCACTACAAAACACCTCCTGAAAACATAGTAGAGATCCCAGCTACTGACAGGGATCTTAAAAAAGCCAGGTTAAAAACTGGTCTGTTAAATGGTTCTGCAAGCATTCTGTTAAGTTGATGTACTCACAGCTCCCACCCAAGAGAAAACACATTTTAAAAAGCAAGGGATCAATCTAATTACTTTAATACGGTCCGTAACGATGAGCAGGATGATGCTCAGAACTGGATCACCTGGCCCTGTAAGAAGCAAGAGACAAGAGTGAGTTTATGTGAATAAACTGAGTATTGCCCCCCTTTCTCAGCCACTCACAGAATGCAATCTCACCTTTCTCTTCTTGTCTCCTCCCAGCTCAAAGTGCTTGCACCTCTTAATGGCCAGCATTCTCTTGGACCTGCAGTTGGGCTCCACACACTCCAGCCTCAGCACAATCTTCTTGGTGGTCTTGGCCTGGGAGGAAGAGCAGGGTGTTTCAATCAAGCACACATCCCCAAGCAGACCAACTGTTGCTTTCAGGGAGAGTTTGTTCCCAGCACTCCTAATATTCAGTTTGTTCCTGAAGTGTAGAGAGATACTAAAAACATGGGCTCCCTCCACTGAAAACAAGAAGGCTCTTTAAGGATCAGTATGGGAGTGAAGTGGATTGTTATCTTCACAAAAAGGGTGCTGGCAAAAGCATTCAGTGGGGCAGGGCTGGTTCCTGAAGGGATCAGCCATGCTGGAGAAGTCTGTTCCACCGAACAGAGCAAGAAACTCACACTTTTACAGTGTGGGAGCACAGACCAGCAGTGCTCAAGAGAAATCCAGATGATAACTGGGCAAAAGAACCACCTGGAAGCAACACGACTGGCAAACTTTCTCTGAAAGGAGCAGTGACACAACAGGCTCAGGGCAGACCTGCAGCTACTCAGAAACTGGATGAAACCTAACAACTGCAGAGGGAAGAATCCAAAGCTGGGAGGCTGCTGTAGCAGCTGGACAGGGCTGTAACTACCAGCTAAAAACCTCAGCCAACCATCCATACAATGCTGACTGGGAAAAAACAGAAATGAGAATTGCAATGTACAGGTAGAGTGTGCCAGCAATGCAGCTGCTTGGTGTACCCTGCTTGCAGAAGCATTTTCTCTGAGGTCTCCCCACTTCCTGGCACAAAGACAACTTGAAAACCTGCTGCCTCATTTTTTTTCTTCTTGCTGGAAGGCTTCCTGTAAACCTTCAGCAGGACACCAGGGCATCCCAGCAAGCCAAGCGGCTCTCTGAGCATAACTAAATAATTCACACAAAGTAACAAACCCACCCACTGGGTTTTGCTTCCTTGCTGTAAATACCACACCAAGCAAGCAGACAGCTCCTTTCCCTTTGCCAAGCCCTTCCCCTTGGGCAGCAGGTAAAGAAGCATTCCTTTCACTGCAAATATCCCTACCAGAAAGACCCTGCAGCATCAAGGCTGAGAAACTACTCTGCAAACACAGCCCAAGTCACCCCACAAATGAGGAGCATGTCCATGAGACAGGACAGCAAGGAGATGTACTTGATGGGAGCTTGCAAGGGAGATGGACTTTTTACAAGAGCACAGAATGACAGGGCAGTGGGAAACAGCTTCACACTGACAGAGATTTAGATTGCAGAGTAGGAAGACACTCTTCCCTGCGAGGGTGGGGTGGTCCTTGCACAGGTTTCCCGGAGAAGCTGTGGCTGTCCAAGGCCAGACTGGATGGACCTTGGAACAGCCTGGGATAGTGGAAGGTGGCCTTGCCCATGGCAAGGGGCCCCCTCCAGCCCAAGCCATTCTATGATGAGGGGACAGCTGTACTGCCAGCACAGCACTGCCCTAACACAGCCAGAGCAGAGCCCTGAGGAATCCTCCCTCAGCTGGGCATGTGGGCTGCCAAGGAAGCTCCCTGTTCCTGAGGAGCAACACTGGCTCACTCGCTCACTCACTCACCTTCTTACGGAAGATAGGCTTTGTCTGGCCCCCATAGCCACTCTGCTTCCGATCGTAACGCCTTTTTCCTGCAGGAAAAATGGCTCTGGTCAGGCAACACCCCAGGAGATGCTACAAACACAACTGGCACTTCCTAAATCCCAGCAGAGCCCAGCTTGTCCCTGCACAGCCCAGCAGAACCAACCAGTGCCACAGCTCTCGTGCTGCGCCATCCCCACGCTGCACCCAACAGACACACAAGGTCTGCAAATCACGGCACTTCATTTATACAGAGTTCTGTGCAGAGAAGGGTGCTGCATGGTAAATCCTCAAAGCCAGCACACAAACGGCCGAAAATATTTATGCAATTCTGTCCAGGTAGTATTTACATAATTACTCCACATCACTACTGCTGGAGCTACCACTGGATTCATTTTCTTTCACCTGGACTTGAAGGCCCAGCACATTTCAAACTCCCATCCCATATTCAGTAGGCAGGGCTCTCCCTCGGGCTGGCTCCAGTTGAGCTTTCACAGCCAGCTAGGTTTACCCAGAGCGCATTCCCTAATTAGTTAAATTTTTCCACACGACAAGCATCCGAAACTGCTTTGGGTTGACATGTCCTTAGTCCTTCTCCCTTTGTCTTATTTTTTTTTAGTTCTCTTTGTTGTACAGCACATCCTTTAGGTCAAGCTGTCCTCCCCAGCCATACAAACGTTCCCGATTTCCAGCACCGTGCAGGGCACAGACACGCGGAGCGCCCCGGGGCGAGCCCGCGCTTACCCTGCGCGTAGAGCGAGTCCTTCCCCTTCTTGTACTGCGTCACCTTGTGCGGCTGGTGCTTCCCGCATTTCTTGCAGTAGGTCCGGCGGGTTTTCGGCACGTTCACCTGGAGGAGGAGAGAAGCCAGTCACGGCCGCTGCGCATACGCCACATCCCGCTCCGAAGGCCCCGCTCCCGCCCTTCCCCTTCCCTCGGGCCCTGCGCTGCCATCCGGAGATGGAGAAGCCTCCGCGCCAGCCTGGCCGCCCAGCACGCACCCATCGCAGCGGAGGGAGCCCAGCCCGGCGCCCATCCGGGGCGGATGGCGGCGGATGGAGCCCGGCCTAGCTCCAGCACTCACCATTTTGGCGGCGGCGGCCCGGAGAGAAAGCGCTGGCCGGAAGCGGAAGTGAATGGGAGCTGGCGACCATAGAGAGGCGCGTGCAGCGACCATAGAGAGGCGCGTGCAGCGGGCCCAGGCAGGGCGCCCCCTGGCGGTGGGGAGGAGCAGGCGGCCGCCATGGGCCGGGGGCGTGCGGGACCGGGGCTCGGGGCTCGGGGCTCGGGGGGGCTGCCGGAGGATGGCTGCGGGCCGGGGGCGTGCGGGACCGGGGCTCGGTGCTCGGTGGGACTGCCGGAGGATGGCTGCGGGCCGGGGGCGTGCGGGCTCTGCCGGCTCTGTCGCCTGCCCAGGTGTTGGAAACACAACTCGTGTGTCAATAGAGATCCTTGTTAAGGTTTAGGGCTTGACGCGATTCAGTGATCCCAGACCTGGGTGGGAGTTAACAAGGCATGGGAAGAAGGATTTGCCACTGGTAGTGGGCACAGAGAATGCAGAATTTAGAAGCACAAGAACAGTTGGTGGAATTCTCACGACAAGGATGTAACTACCAAAGCTAACTCAACAACCGTGCTTAGTCGTCTCTGAGTGGATTAGAGATTCCAGATGGCAACACCAACTCATGGACTACTGACCCAAGAAACCCCCTGACCCAAACGAAGAGGAAGACTGAACACGTGGCATAATTAACTTAAGAAGTGAGGGAATGATTTAACACTACAAAGTAGAATACTAATGAGTGATGTAATCTGTAGCCAACGAAGATTCATGTTTTCATTTGCTAAAACGTAGAAACAGTGAAAAGTTTTGCTAGTCACTCTGCTGGCTTTGTGAATTTGCCACCAAAAGCTCTTTGAGTAAAAATACCTCGGTTCTGTGTGGGGATCAGCCCCATGCACATCGGGTGAAAGAACCCATTTTGGGACAGCACAGGGATGGTCAGCCAGCTCGGCCAACACCTGGCACTGCCCAAGCCCAGGGCACGGCCGCTGGCCTGGTGACCCCACATGGCCCAGATGACTGCAGGAGGAAACACAAATGCTGCCTTTGAGTCAGAAAACTCAAAAAGGGGAACCGAAAGGGTGGGGTTGGCCGGCCCCGTCCTTCCTCCCTGCGCACCCTGCCGTCCCTGCTCGGCCCTGCTGCCACAGGCACCCCGACCGGCGGGCTGCCCGGAGCTGCCCGGAGCTGCCCGGAGCTGCCCGGAGCTGCCCGGAGCTGCCCGGAGCTGGCCAAAGCTGCCCGGAGCTGCCCGGAGCTGCCCGGAGCTGCCCGGAGCTGCCCGGAGCTGGCTGGAGCTGCCCGGAGCTGGCCGGAGCTGGACAAAGCTGGCCGGAGCTGCCCGGAGCTGCCCGGAGCTGCCCAGAGCACTCGGTGAGTGAGTGCGGAGCCCCGGGAGCCGCGGCAGGGGTGGCAGCGGGGCCCTGCCGGTGCGGCTGTGGGCTGTGGGGTGGCGGGAGGCTCCGTGTGGCCTCACACCTCTGCTGGGCTCCGTGGGGCAGGAGAGCCGTGCTGGCACAGGACACATGGTGCGGGTGAGGCGGGTGCCCAACCAGCTCCGAGCAGGCGGCATCTGAGCCCACTCACCAGGCCTGGGGCTGTGGGTACAGCGGGCAGGGAGGTGGAGGGGCTGCCAGGGGCTGCAGGCTGCGCTGGAGCTGGGAATCACAGCAGTGCCAGGGCTCCCAGGGTTGGGGTTCTGCCAGTGTGTTTGGCCATTCCTCCCCTGTGCTTTTTGCAGTGGGCATTGCTGGGGTGCAGCTCTGGGTTTGCTCAGCAGTTTCTCCCATGCAGGAGGTTTCCCCCGCTGTCCCTCCCGCCCATCACTTTTGACACCCTCGGGGCTCAACCTGAAACGTGAGGGCTGTGAAGTTTGCCACTCTGTCACCCTCCCTTCTTGTCCCAGGCATTCCAGGTCCCTGCCAGCCCCCCATCAAAGCTTGCTGTGGAAGCGGGACGGCCCCGGGAGCGTGGTGGGCGCCGTGCCCAGTGGCAGGAGGCCAGCAGTGTGTGGCAGGCCTGGTGGTGGTCTCAGAGCACGCTGGGCGGAGGTGTGAGCATGGCAGGAAGTCACACGAGCTGGCAGGAGGGACACAGGACGTGCTGCCACACAGCCACTCCTCGCTGCTGTCACAGCACAGCAGTGGTGGCTGCGGGGGCGAGCCCCGTGGGGTGCCACCACGCCGAGGACAGGCAGGGACAGGGCGGCTCTGGTGGCAGTGCTGGGGAAAGGGACGCTGTGCCGTGATGGGGCACAACAGCCCTCTGAGACACTCGTCATTTCCCCCCTGCTATTTCCATCCAGAGGACTCAGTGAGGACGTGTCCCACCTGCCTGGCACTGCTGGCCATGACCCCACTGCTGTGACTCCAGGTAAAGCCCCAGGGACCTGGCACTGCGGTTGGGATGGGCTGGAGCCCAGGGCCCCTCTGCTCAGCCCTGTGTCTGTGCCAGGGAGGGCAGTGGGAGCCCTCCTGCTCTTGGGACACAGGATTAGCAGCCACACTTGATAAGTAGGGAAAATGAGGCACAGGGCTACAGGATGGTTCTGGGGTCACTCTGGGCTCATCCACAGCCCTGCCAGCAGTCTGGGGGTCAGGGGCCACACCAGTCACCTGCGGGGACCCCAGGTCCCTCCTCCTGAGGCCTCAATCAGCACACTGCTGTTTTTTCCGAAAGGCTCTGATGACTAATTTATTAAGTGGGGTTTTTTTGACCACCCAAACAAGCTGGAAAGGTCTGAGCCATAAGAGCCACAAGGAGGGAAGACAGAAGCCTGGGAGAAGGAATCCTGCTTGTCCCCAGCCTGTCTGGGAACTATGGGGCAGGGTCAGTGCTGCAGCAGCAGGGGCTGTGCTGGGAGGGTCTGGGCATCGGGAGGACACCTCTGCTTCTTGTCCCCAAACTGGGGCTTGCCTGGAGAGAAGCACAGTGTGTGGGACTGGGTCCTGGCATCTTTGTTCCCCACTGTTGTGAGTGAGCAATGCCCATCTCCTGTGTGTGGAGAGTGGATGGAATACTCAGCTGGAGAATGGGGGGCTGAACCCCTGTTTCTGGCCCACCCCTGAACCTCCCCCAAGGAGATGGGCTGTGGGGAGCAGGGGAGAAAAACAGCTTCTCCCAGGTTGCTTTCCAAAGCTGTGCTTATAGGAGGAGAAAAGGGAACAAGGTCAAGGTGAAGGGGAAGCAGGGACTGTAGGTGGTCAGGCAGGAGACAGGGAGCTGAGACACAGAGCTCCAGGGGATCACAGCTCGGCAGGGGCTCCACACAGCTCACTCATCAGCTCCCCAGACTGCAGGCAGGTGCTGGTCACAGCCCACAGCTCCGGCCACGTGGCTCTGTGGGTGCTGGGCCCACCAGGGCTCACAGTTCCTGGGGACAGCATGGAGGGATGGGGTGAGATGCATGGGCTGCTTCAAGAGATGGGCTAGGGCGATTTTCAGCTGCTAAAGACCAGGCAGCTGTGGGATGCAGGGCTCTCATGAGCCCTTTCTTGCACTGCTCTTCCCCAGAGAGGCTCAGGGAAGATTTCCTGATGGCTGAGGAAGGATTTAACCCCTCTGCCTGCTGGCTGGAGGTAGCCCTTCAAGCCTGGCCACTGGCAAGTGCTGCTCAGAGGGGAGTTGAGCTCCATCCCTGCACTCCTGCAGGCTCCATGGACACGCAGGGGAAGGATGGCTTTGGGGCTGCTCCGTGCTCTTGGCAGCACTGTGGCCTTTCAGTGCCAGGACCTACCCACAGCTTTTTAGGGATTGGCCTCCCGTGACCAGCCCTTGCACGCTGCCAAGTCAGCACGTCCCCAGCACGAAGAGGCTGCGGTGGGGCAGGAGGAAACAGCCCACACAGGCTCACATCACAGAGCTGGAGGGGAGGAGCGCCTGCAGGGTGTCACAGCTGGCTCCACGCTCCTCCCCAGGGCTCCAAGCTTCCCCGTTTCTGTCTTTCCCCAGCTCTCTGTCCATCTTGCATATCCTGGGGGCCTCTTCAGCAGGAATAGGAGCCATCCGAGTGGTGGCTTGGTCTGCAGGCTGGTGTGGGAGAGGGGCCACAAACAACCCACGCTGAGCTGCCCTCACTCCTCTGCGGCTGTTTCCCCCCACTGTGGGGGTCCCAGCACCCCCTGTCTGCCCCTGGGGCAAGGGGGAGAGTGCACCTGAGTGAGGCCCAGCAGGTTTTGGGCTGAGCAAACGCCGTGCCAGCCTTGTCTTGCCCACAGCGAGCCGGTGAGCAGCACAGCGGAGAGCAGGGGGCTGACATGGCCAGCGTCATCCTGGAGAGCATCTTCTTGAAGCGCTCGCAGCAGAAGAAGAAAACGTCTCCCCTCAACTTCAAGAAGCGCCTGTTCCTGCTGACGGAGAGCAAGCTGTCCTACTATGAGTATGACTTTGAGCGGGGGGTGAGTCTGCAGCCACAGGGGCTGTGCCATGCCAGTGCCCAGCGGTCACCAGCTGTCCCTTGGCAGCACGCAGCCCAAGGGGTGGCTGTCAGGGAGGGGGTGGGTTTGACTCTCTCCAGGTCTCCGCTTGGTGACCCTTTGAACCAAGAATGTCTCTTGCAGCGCCGGGGCAGTAAGAAGGGCTCTGTGGACGTTGAGAAGATCACCTGTGTGGAGACAGTGGCACCTGAAAACAACCCTCCCCCTGAGCGGCAGGCCCCGGTGAGGAGGGTCCCAGGGTCCCTGCAGCTGTCCCCCTGTCCCCTCCCTGGGGAAGCTGGAAGGGTCTCTGGGGTGCTGGCAGTGGGGGACAGCCTGCTTGGCACGAGGGGCTCTGTCCACACCATAGCAAAGGTCCAGCTCGATGCAGAGCAAGGGGGATGCCAAGAGCTGTGGACCTGTTCCAGAGAAGATGCCAGCAGCTGAGCACCATCCATCTCTGCCTCTCTCTTCCAGAGGAAAGGGGAGGATTACAACAACATGGAGCAGATCTCAATCATCGAACGGTTCCCCTACCCCTTCCAGGTGAGTTTCCACTGCACCACTCTGCCTGGTAGCAGGTCCTGCTGGGAGGGCCCCACAGGGGCCTGGGGTCAAGCATGGCATCACTGCCCCGGTGCCAGGTGTCACTCAGCTGCTTGGAGACACTCTGCTGCTGTCCACACTGCATGGGACAGCCAGGTGAGCCTCTCTGAGCCCCGAGCCAGCTCTGTTTAAGATGGAAACCTGCTTCTGAGCTCTGTCCTGCCCCTTTCAGTCCTCTGGCTGATGCTGGAGGGATGCTGGCTGCACACTCAGCCCCCAGCCCAGCTGCCTGCCCTGCTGGCACCCAGTGCACCCCCAGCACACTGAAAGTCAGAGAAGGAAGTGGAAAGTCTCGGGGGAGGGGGCTTATTTTTAACCTCTTTGTCACGGTTCCGTGAGCAGCGTGCGGGGCCGGCAGACACCGGCAGGGCTGGCTCGGGGTAGCCACAAGGCTCAGCTCCCCCCTGCCTGCCCTGAGAGCCCTGCCCGTGGTACTGAGGTGTGTGGTCCTGCAGGTGGTCTATGACGAGGGGCCCCTCTACATCTTCTCCCCGACAGAGGAGCTGCGCAAGCGCTGGATCCATCAGCTGAAGAGCGGTGAGTGCGGGGGCTCTGCAGCTCCCTTGGCAAGCCAGCATGGGCACAGCTGCCCCTGTGCCTGACCCACAGTGCCAGGCTCACAGGTTACCTGTCTGGCAACCTGTCTGGTAACCTCGCTGGTAACCTCGCTGGCTCATGGTTACCTGTCCCATGTCTGGAGGAAGTGCGAGCTTCTCCTGCCCGGAGCAAGCAGCCACTGTCACCCTCTGCAGCACCACAGCTCCCTTGGCTGGGGCTCCTTGCCTTCTCACAAACCTGCTCCAAAGCAGCTCAAGCAAGCTCAGAAATCGTTGAGGGCAAGAGGAAACAGCAGATGTGGCCATACCGCTGTGCTGCCTTGGCATGTGAGGGTTGGGTGCCCGGTGCTTTAGGAAACATGGACCACAAGGCTGCTGGGAGCCACAGAGCATCTTCCCCAAACCACCCCAAGCCTTGCTCAGTAATGCTGAGCTAATGCTCAGCTGGCTGGGTGCTCCTTCCTGGAGCTGGGAGTGTGTTGCAGCAGCACTGTGCCAAGGGGCTCCGACCACCCAAAATCTGCTGGAGCTGCCTGTATGTGCCTCCTGGTGCATGTGTGTGTGTCTTTCTGTGGCTTTGTGCTGGCAGAGTGGGATTAGCTGTTGAGTTGACACGGGGAAGTTGGCTCGAGCGGGGCGGAAGAGGGGCAGGCTGATAACGGGGAAGTCGGTTATCTCACAAGAGCCCCAGCAGAGCAGCCAGTCCTCTCCCACTTCCCTGCTGAGGGAGGAGGGTTGCTCTGGCAGCTCAAGCCAGTGTAGAATCCATAGAGAAAGGAGAGAAAATGCTGCCTTTTTGCTGTTATTCCACCAGGGAATGGGCTCTCTGCACCCCGTGCAGCTGCTGTGGGCCAGCCCCAGGCTGCCAGCAATGTTTAGGCACATCCAGTTGTCCCTCTAGCTTGGGGAGAAGTATGAGCAAGCTGGTCAGCCTGCCTGGCAAGGGAATATTCTCCCTGCGAGGGAAGTCTCTGAGCGAGCACAGGGTGGTGGCAGTGCCCTCCTCTTCCCATGGAAAAGCCAAGCACAGCACTGGCCTCCCACCCCACTTCTGGGAAAAAAAGGGCTCAAAAGAGCTGTGAACCATGGGCCAGAGCAGCCTGGGGGTCATTGGATATTTTGGCTGGCAGGAGGGCCAGGTCCTTCTGTGACTGGCTCCAAGCATGCTCATGCCCCTTTGCAGAGCTGCTCAAAAAGCTTAAATCAGATCTGAGAGCCAAGCTTGGCCCTTCCCTGTGGCACAGGGATTGCACAGCCACAGCACTGAAACAAGAGTGGTAAGCTGAGGGAAACCTGAACATCAGGGCTCAGGGGGCAGCAGCACAGCTGAGAGGAAATGATTTAATGCAGCTGACCACTTGCACTCAGGGAGCAGAGAGCTCTTGCAGCAGGCTGGGGACACAGCCCTGGGTCACATCCATCTTCCCTCCTCTGCCGCAGTGATCCGGTACAACAGCGACCTGGTCCAGAAGTACCACCCCTGCTTCTGGATCGACGGCCAGTACCTGTGCTGCTCCCAGACAGCCAAGAACGCCATGGGCTGCCAGATTCTGGAGAGCAGGAATGGCAGTAAGACCCCAGGCACCCTCCCACTGCCGTGTCCCCCTGCCCTGGGGAGCACCGCAGCAGAACGCCAGGGATCGTTTCTCACCTTAGCCCCTCCTCTGTTCCGAAGGTTTAAAAGTCGGGCGGTCACATCGCAAGACTAAGAAGCCCCTTCCCCCAACTCCTGAGGAGGACCAGGTAAAGGCCAACGTCAGGGTTTGCTTCAAAGTGTTGGAGAAAAGATGAACCTGGAAAAAGCCAACATGTTCAATGCCTGCTCAGAGATGTACAGGCCAGGACTCTGCTCTGGGGAGGGAGGTCAAGATGGTGACCTAAGGGAGAAGGAGCTTGAAGCAGGGGATGGAGCCCAAAGTCAAATGATCTTAACCCTAAGGTTTCCCAGGGCACCTGAGAGATTAAAGCCCTGATGTAGGCTGGAGGAGTCACAGGTTAAGCCAAAAGGTAAAGAGAAAACACCTTTTGTGGAGATGAGAAAAAATAATTTGATAAAAAGTCCAGGGAGAGGAAATAGCTGTTCTGGTAGAGATACACGTGGGAGCTGAGACAAACACTGCTCTGACCTTGCCTGAGACCACTGCCCTCCCAGGCCTTGGCAGGGTGTCATGTGGTGACGTGTGTGCGAGCCTGACCGTGTCCCACACTCTCCCTCTCGCTGCGGGAAGATGGTGATGAAGCCTCTGCCCCCCGAGCCAGCCCCCAGCACAGCAGGGGAGATGAAGAAGGTGGTGGCCCTCTACAACTACGAGCCAATGAACGCGCAGGACCTGCAGCTGCAGAAGGGCGAGGAGTACTTCATCCTGGAGGAGAGCCACCTGCCCTGGTGGAAAGCCCTTGACAAGAACGGGTGAGAGCTCCCACAGCCCATGGCCACGGCTCTGCAGCACTGCCCTGGCACTGGTGGGCAAACACACCCTTTCGGCACCCCACGGGTGAGGACAGGCTGCCTGCCCGCCTGTGGGCTGCCCTGGGGAGGAGGTGGAGGAGGCTGAAGTCAGTTGTGCTGTCAGCCTTCTCCAAATGGGTTTGCACCAAAGTTTTTGAGCCCATTTCTACTCAGTCTCCTTAGACAGGAATATCCTTTCCTCTTGGCCTGCTCCATCAGAGTGTGACCAGCCCCTTTTCTCCTGCAGGAGGGAAGGATACATCCCCAGCAACTACGTCACTGAAACCAGAAATTCCCTGGAGATCTTTGAGTAAGAGAGGGCACAGGCACCTGGCGAGTTGCACTTGGTTGGAGACATTTTGCATTTGGTTGTTACCCTACTCAGCCCAAGAGCCCAGCCTGGCTGGGTCATTCTCCCTCTTCCACATCCCCTGACAGCCTCCAGCCCCTGGCAGCCATCCCTGTCTTGCTCTCTGCACGTCTGTCCTGGCTGGGCCAGGGTCAGACTGGGCTGGGGACAGAGGTGGTGTGGAGATCTCCCTGATGGCTGAGTCCTGTGTCCCTGTTCCAGGTGGTACTCAAAGAATATCACTCGGAGCCAAGCGGAGCAACTGCTGAAACAGGAGGTAAGTGTTGCCTCCCGAGGCTGGGTCTGTTCTACGCACCAGCCCTCCATGGGCTGTTCTCACCTTGTGTCCAGCATGGACCAACCCTGGCTTTTCTGGGAGAGGAGTGTTGCCCCAACAGCCCCAGGAACCTTCCCTATCCCAGTGTGAGCTCCTCCAGGCAGCCACTTCAGGAGGTGGCCTCCCGTGCAGGGACTGGAAGTAGGATTGCTCTAACTCACTACATCCTTTCCAGCCATGCTGTGATCTTCACTCACTTCAAGTTTTGCCTATTGCAGTCACACACAGTGCCCACAAACACCCAGTGCCCTTTCCCCTTTCTGTTTTAGGGTAAGGAAGGGGGCTTCATTGTCCGAGATTCCACCAGCAAGACAGGGAAATACACTGTCTCTGTCTATGCCAAGTCCTCTGTGTAAGTGGCTCCAAGAACAGTTTGTTCCTCCCTCAGAGGGCCCCTCCAGGCACCCCTCACCCTCTGCCTCTCCTACCCATGACACTGACCTCATGTTCTCCCTCTCCAGAGACCCCCAAGGCACGATCCGCCACTATGTGGTCTGCTGCACCCCCCAGAATCAGTATTACCTGGCAGAAAAACACCTGTTCAACAGCATCCCAGAGCTTATCACCTACCACCAGCACAACTCTGCAGGTCAGTGCTCTGGAGACAGAGTGAAGGTTCAGTGTTTGCACTGGCACCACGGCATCCCCACCTTCTGCACCGAAGGCAGGAGCTGTGTTTCCTGCTGGGATGTGGCAATCTCTGCTGCTGTGTTTCAGGGCTCATATCCAGACTGAAGTACCCCGTGTCTCAGCACAAGAAAAGTGCTCCTTCCACAGCTGGCCTTGGCTATGGTAAGCCAGCCTGGGCTACCTCGCAGTTCCCTGGCTAAAGGGTTTGTGTCGTACTACAAAATAACTCACGCACTCACACTAAGATTAAAAGAGCAAAAGGAAGTTACTTTTATTTCTGACTTTGTAATATATAGAATTTTAAATGTGACGGTGGATTGGAGGATAAAATTGCTACTTCTCCAACCACACTGGTCAACTCAGCAGTCTATCAATTTTCTCCTCCCACAAAGAAGAATGTAAAACAATCATTATTTACATGAACAGTGCGTGAGAATTCTAGTAGAAATATGTAAACATTAGAAGGCATAGAAAACTTTTAAAAGAACTTTAAAACTTCTAAAAGAACAGAGTGACAGGTTTGCTTCTGCTGGCAGCAACTTTCTCAGGCTGGGATCTTAGCTGTCCCACAGCTCATAGCCTTCCTAGGAACCACTTCCCAACTACCCTCTGGGGACAGTATTGACCAAAAAACTCCACAAGTTACCTTGCTCCCACCCCCTGGAGTTACAGGTCTCAGATTTTGTGGATGAGTTATCAGGCAGCAAATGCTTGTGAGCTTTTCTTGGGCTTGCTAGATTGGATGACTGGGAACACCGTGCAGGGAGGTCACCTGTACCCACATTACACTCACACTCTTGTCCTAGGATCATGGGAGATCGACCCCAAGGATCTGACCTTCCTGAAGGAGCTCGGGACGGGGCAGTTTGGTGTGGTGAAGTACGGGAAATGGAGAGGCCAGTACAACGTTGCCATCAAGATGATCAGGGAGGGCTCCATGTCAGAGGATGAGTTTATTGACGAAGCCAAAGTCATGATGTAAGTGTGAAGAGCACCATGCAGGGCAGTGCTGGATGCTCCTTGCCAGAATGGCTGCTCTCCTGGGAGGTGTGGAGGGACAGTCTTAGGCAGTCCCATACTCTGCAAAATGCATCCAAGATCCCACTGATTTTGTGCATTCCTTTGTGAGGTATTCCGCTGTCAGCTGGGCCAGAAGCACCTTCCCGTGCCAAACTCTCCTTATTCACAGGTATTTCCTTTGCTCCCTGGCTTTCTAGATGCTCAGAACTGCATTTGTCCCCAACACAGGAACCTGTCTCACGAGAAGCTGGTGCAGCTCTACGGGGTCTGCACTAAGCAGCGTCCCATCTTCATCATCACCGAGTACATGGCCAACGGCTGCCTCCTGAACTTCCTGAGGGAAACACGGCAGCGCTTCCAGCCTGCCCAGCTGCTGGAGATGTGCAAGGATGTCTGTGAAGCTATGGAGTACCTGGAATCCAAGCAGTTCCTGCACAGAGACCTGGTAGGGCTGTGGCTGCTTTCTCCAGGCAAAATCCTACCCGGGAAGTCACCCCTGCATAGATAGATAGGATGCTTGGAGGCCTCAGTTGGTCACTGCTGAGGCCTTTCTAGCTTGCCCCAGTCCAGGTGAACTTGGAGGACAAAGTGAGGGGAAGTGTTTGGTGGGTGGGGATGAGATGAAGTTCACCTGCTACAGGGGGATGGGAGAGACAAGAGCAGGTAGAAGTAACTGCCTCCACTTCTCCATTCACAGGCGGCTCGAAACTGTTTGGTGAATGACCAAGGAATTGTGAAAGTGTCAGATTTTGGTCTTTCCAGGTCTGGTAGATGTGTCTGTGTCACTTTCCTGTCTCAGTACCCCATCTCCTCCTTCCATCAATTCTACACGTTAGTTTCTGTCCCCACCACCCTCCAGCTCTGCTTTCCCATCGTCTTCCCATTTCATCTGCCTGGCTTGACTTTCTGCCTCTCCATTTCCACCACCCCTTTCTTACTTTCCCTGGCCCTCCCCCCCCTCTTGCTGTATCTTCTTTCCCTCCCCCAAGTCTCCTGGCTGCAGCTTTCTCTCCACATCCCCTTTTTGCTGTGCTTCCATGTCAGCAAATCTCTTCTGCAGTCCTGGCTAACACTCACTTACTGCTGAAACCCACGCAGAGCTGCAACCTCTGGTCATTCTGGGCTGCCCATTCCTTTTGGGCTTGGTCAGTTGTGTGGAGGAGGGAAATGTGAAGTCCAAGTGAGGCACCCTGATCCATTTTCCTGCTGCAGGTACGTGCTAGATGATGAGTACACAAGCTCCATGGGGTCCAAGTTCCCAGTGCGGTGGTCTCCTCCTGAAGTGCTGCTGTACAGCAAGTTCAGCAGCAAGTCTGATGTCTGGTCCTTTGGTAAGGGCACAGCATTGATGATTTGGAGGCTGGGAGCTCCTCTGCAAACCACGTGCAGACACGGGTGCTCTAATGCCATGAGCTCTCCCTGCTGTTCCCCCAACAGGCGTTCTGATGTGGGAAGTTTATTCCCTGGGAAAGATGCCCTACGAGAGGTTTAACAACAGCGAGACAACCGAGCACGTCATCCAAGGCCTGCGCCTGTACCGGCCGCAGGCGGCCTCGGAGCGGGTCTATGCCATCATGTACAGCTGCTGGCACGAGGTGAGTGCCTGTCACCCCTGGTGACACCTCCGGCCACCCTGGGCGAGTGACGGGGCTCCCCGGGGCGAGCTGGGGCAGACACGGCCTCCAGCCAGGCTTCCCTCTTGCCCCACAGAAGCCTGAGGAGCGCCCCACCTTCACCGTGCTGCTGAGCAGCATCCTGGACATCGCCGACGAGGAGTGCTGACCACGGGTACTGCCCGCTGACCCTGCCAGCGCCGCCTCTGCCCAGCGGGACACACGTGTGCACCGGGTGGCACGGCTGTCATGGACACGGCACAGCTGTCACGGACACGGCACGGGTGTGCAGAAACCTGGGGGACCCCCACGGCCACACCCACAGCCCCATCACATGCTCAGGGCTTCATCACAGCCCTGGAACTGCATCACATCCCTGGAACTGCATCACATGCTCAGAGCTCCATCACCCCAGAACTCCATGACATCCCCGTAGCTCCATCGCATCCCCAGAACTCCCTCACATCCCTGGAGTTCCATCACCGCCCCGGAGCTCCATAACCACCCCAGAACTCCATCACATCCCTGGAACTCCATCACATCCCCGGAGCCCCATCACCGCCCCAGGGTTCCACCACATCCCTGGAACTTCATCACCGCCCTGGAGCTCCATCACCACCCCAGAACTCCATCACATCCCTGGAACTCCATCTCATGCTCAGAGCTCCATCACATCCCTGGAACTCCATCGCATCCCCGGAGCTCCATCACATCCCTGGAGCTCTCTCACATGCTCAGAGCTCCATCACCACCCCAGAACTCCGTCACATCCCTGGAACTCCATCACATCCCCGGAGCCCCATCACCGCCCCAGGGTTCCACCACATCCCTGGAACTTCATCACCACCCCAGAACTCCATCACCACCCCAGAACTCTATCACATCCCTGGAAGTCCATCAAATGCGCAGAGCTCCATCACATCCCTGGAAGTCCATCTCATGCTCAGAGCTCCATCACATCCCCAGAGCTCCATCGCATCCCCAGAGCTCCATCACATCCCTGGAGCTCTCTCACATGCTCAGCGCTCCATCACCACCCCACAACTCCATCACATCCCTGGAACTCCATCTCATGCTCAGAGCTCCCTCACATCCCCGGAGCTCCATCACATCCCCGGAGCTCCATCACATCCCTGGAACTCCATCTCATGCTCAGAGCTCCATCACATCCCTGGAACTCCATCGCATCCCTGGAGCTCCTTCACATCCCCGGAGCTCCCTCACATCCCCGGAGCTCTCTCACATGCTCAGAGCTCCATTGCATCCCCGGAGCTCCATCACATCCCCGGAGCTCCATCGCATCCCCGGAGCTCTCTCACATGCTCAGAGCTCCCTCACATCCCCGGAGCTCCATCACATCCCTGGAGCTCTCTCACATGCGCAGCGCTCCATCACCACCCCAGAACTCCGTCACATCCCTGGAACTCTATCGCATCCCCGGAGCTCTCTCACATGCTCAGAGCTCCATCTCATGCTCAGAGCTCCATCGCATCCCCTCCGCTCCCGGGCAATCAATCAATCAATCGGTTCCCCGGCCCCGGCTGCAGCCGCTCCGCCCCGCCGGCAGGGGGCGCGCGGCGGGCGGGCGGGCGCGCACGCGCGGCGCGGGCGGAAGGGGCGGGCGCGGCACCGGCGGCACGTGAAGGTCGCGGCGCGGCGGCACCGGGAGCGAGCGGCGGCACACCGGGAGCGCCATGGACCCGCCGTCCGCCGCCGGGCTTGGCGGGGCCGACCCCCAGCTCCAGCGCTTCATCGAGGTGGAGACGCAGAAGCAGCGCTTCCAGCAGCTGGTGCACCAGATGACCGAGCTGTGCTGGGTACGGGCGGCGGGCAGGGCCGCCGGCCCCGGTGGCGATGGTGGGGCAAGGCGGGCTGGGAGGCCGCGCAGAGCTTTGTCCCCGGGGGGAGGACGCTGATGGGGACAAAATGGAGCCGCCGCGGGAGCAGCGAGCGGGAGGGGGCGGCTCTCGGGCACGGCCACGCGTGGGCAGGGCTGGGATGCGCCCGGGGGGTGGGGATGCCGAGAGGACCGGACCGGGACCCCGCGGTGCCGGAGCGTGTCCCGGGGCTGGGGATGCCCAGAGGCACGGCCCCGGTGCGGGGTGGGGAGGGTCGGGCTGCGGTGGCCCCGGGACCGACGGGACCCCGCTGTGTGCAGGAGAAGTGCATGGACAAGCCGGGCCCCAAGCTGGACAGCCGGGCCGAGACGTGCTTTGTGAACTGCGTGGAGCGCTTCATCGACACGAGCCAGTTCATCCTGAACCGGCTGGAGCAGACGCAGAAGTCCAAGTCGGCCTTCTCGGAGAGCCTGTCCGACTGAGCCGGACCCAGCCCCGCCAGGCCAGGCCCTCGCCCATGCCCGCTCCTGGTCACTCTGCCGCCCCACGGAGCCAGGAGCGGCTCGGGGTTAGGATTTGATTAAATGCCAGTCTCGGGGAAGTCGCAGCCAGATGAGAGCCCGCAACAGACACAAGGACGCTCCAGGTCGGGGTGATGTGCTGCTCCTGGCCCTGTGGGCCAGCGGCACCTTTGTGCCGGGACAGTGGTGCCATGCAGGGAGCGTTTGGAATGTGCTGAGCAGAGGCTGCTGATGCTCTTTCAGGGATGCTCCCAGCGCTGATGGGAGGCTCGGCTCTGGTGAGGCCAGCCCTAAACAGTGCTGCACAAACCAGCCCTCCTGGGCACATCCCCACCTGCGCCGGGCACCATCACTGAGCAGGCTGGGACAGCACCTGAGTGAGAAGAGCATGTTGGGACCAGTGATCATCCCAGGCAGTGCCACTGCTGGAAAATACTTCCAGGCTTCCATAGATAAATCATTCATATGGCCAAGTGACCAAAATTCACACTGCAGCACAACTCTGTCGATGCTGACTTGCTCCATTAACTGCTTTCCCTGGGTAAATGTAATAAATATTAACTGGGTCAATTTTTAATATGAGATTCTTCTTTTTTCAGATCACTACTGAGAATGGAAAATCTGGCCTTCTTGTCACTCCCCCTCCTTCCCATTGATCCTATTTATGGCAAAATTAGTAGGAAGGAGGCATAACTGTCTTCTGGCTAGAAGGCCTTTTCTGAATTCTGATTTGTTGGTAAATTAATTTGGTCTCATGAATCAAACTTATTTCTGGGAGAGGCTGTGGCTTTTCCTCTTCTTGCCCAAAAGTTTAACAGCTCCTGCTGTCCTGCAGAGTAGTTTCTTTAGAGAGACTAAACACAGGGAATAACTAACCAGCTGCTTTATAACCTCGTGTACCTTCACCTGTGGAGGTGACTGGCAAGAGGCCTGTGGGTGTGTCTTCTGGACCTCTGCCCCCAGGACACAAAGAGGAGCTTCAAACTGGAAAAACAACCAACCACTGATCATCTCTTTGGGAATGCAGCAGCATTTCAGCAGTGCTCATGCTGCAGGTCTCTGGGAAGCCTGGAGTGACCCTGATAGTGGTCTGGAGCCTGGTAAAGCAATTCTGCACACAACCCACTGCAGGGGCTGCTGGACAGAGCGTGCAAGCTCCCAACATGGGTGGCTTTTGGCCAGCAGCCTTCCTGGGAACAAACTCAGGATGTGTTCAGCAGCTATGCAGATGTAAACCCATATCACTGAGGACACAGCTGTCTAGTTACCTGTCAGAAACTTACCTCAAGAGCTAAGGACTAGGTTCCCAGAGTAGGTGATTGCGTCTCCTAGCCTAACTTGAGTTTCTCTGGAGCACTCAAGAATTCTTCCTACCCCTGTGATGCTCCATGCCTTCCAGTGTTCACACAGCCCCTGGTATAAATGTATCACTCACCACTTGGTAACTGAACAGATCAGTTTTTAATAGAATACAGGAAGCTTCATCAACCTGCACAGCAGACGTTGCACAAAGAGGTTGGTCCCTCTGTAAGAGCCACAGCAGCGTGTGGCAGCACCACTGAAGTTTCCCAGTTTGGGCTGTATTCTGTTTTTGGATGTGAATCTGTAAATAAATTCTAGCAGAGTGAGCAAAACCAAGTACTTGACAGAGGAATTTTTGCATTAATACTCTCTGAATATCACCTTTAAAGCCAGACATCCATCTTCTCTCTGCACAACCTTAGCACCACGTTAGATCATTCTGTAACTGTTAACTCTGGGTTTAAAAAACAGTGTGAGCCTCCCCAGATGTGTGATCTGCCACGGAGTCAGGGTTAGCACTGTGTTAGTGCTGCACGCCTCTCTCTGCACAGCCGAGGTCTGAGTCCTGACGAGAGCAGATTAATTCTTCATGTAAAAGAGCAAAGATACACAAGATGCCAGGAACTGGGCAGTTCCCAGCGCTCCTGTCTGTAGCCACAGGAGGCTCCTGCTCCTGTAGCAGCATGTTCAGCCTCAGCAGTGGGAGTAGGAAGCCAGTAGTTCAGATGCTTCCTCACCTGTTTTCACTTCTCCTCCTCCTCCTCCTCCTCCTCCTCACTCTGAGAGCCCTTGTCCTGCGAGGGCAGCAGAGGCTGGTGCTGACAGGACTGATGTCTGTCTGGCCTGCCTGGCTGCAGGAAGAGGGGCAGGAGGCTGGGGGTGAAGGGCATGTCCCTGAAGGCGTGCAGGAGGAAGATGCCGGACACGATGGTGAGGAAGCCGCTGATGGAGCCGATGATGTTGTCCAGCACCATGTGCTGCCACTCCTTGAAGAGGATGGCTGAGCACGTCATGACTGCTGTGGTGAACAGCACGTAGTAAATGGGTGTGACCACAGAGGTGTTGAAAATGTCCAGGGCTTTGTTCAGATAGTTGATCTGGATGCTGATGCAGATCACCAGGCACACCAGGAGCACCCAGCCCAGGGGTTCCTTCAGGACTGGCTTCCCAGAGAACAGTTCTTTCAGGGCAATCCCCAGGCCTTTGACGCAGGATACGGACAGCGAGCCAATGGCAGAGCAGACCAAAACATAAACCAGGACATTGCTCTGTCCATAACGGGGTCCAGCCACAAAGATGAGCAGAAGGGAGCTCACCAGGACACACACAGCAAATACAATGAATCCTTGGGGAAGTAAGAATTCAAGAACTCCCATCAGAACACAGCAGAACCAGTGACAGATATGACTGAACAGCAAGTAGAGATTGAGAACAGGCATCAGCCCCATCAGCCTTTATGGCCTCCATCTGAAGGGAACAGGGTTGGAAAGCCTGAGCAAAGCTGCAGAGACAACAACAGCTCATTACAGTGTGATCACAAGTCAGGCTGTTGGAGATACAGACAGCTAGGAGTGCCAGGGACGCTGCCAGGTTCCACAGCACTAACAGAGCTGGGGGGCTTTTGACCAGGGCAGCAGGAGGCCCAGGAAGGTGACAACAGAAGGCTTGGGAAGCTGTGGCTCAACTCTGCAGACTAGTGAGATAAAAAGGAAAATGCCACACCACATGAATGCCCTGCCAGTGCTCCCCCTAATGAACAGGAACATCTACCTGTTACTCTGCTTTGCTCTTCTCCTTATGCTGCCTTCCTCCATCTCTTTTGGCTTATTCTGCCATTTGTGCTATTGCCTACATCAAATCCTTGAGACTTGATTCATCCTCTTAACATAAAACACCAGGACTACCTCTCTTGGGCATAAGTCCTTGAGTTCTTCTGCCTGAATTTCCTCCTCTATCTTTTCTCAGCCACACCACTACCACCCTTTTGTACAGGAATTCCCTCTGCAGTTCCTGGCACTGCCAAAGGCCAATCACTTCTGCTGACAGCTGTACCTCATTTCCCTGCTCCTCACTTTTTGCATCTATACTTCACAGACTAACCAGTAAAAAAACAGCCCATTTGGTAACTATTAATGATTCCAGTGGGGTGTGCAGAACAAGAAACAGCTCAATTACCATTTTGTTCAGTCCTTTCCAATCTGTCCAAGTTGTATCCCACCTTCTACTGTCATTGGCCTGAAGTCAACAGGAATCCTTTTATTTTAGTACCTGGATCTTTCAGCTTCTCTGCCATTGACTCCAGGCTGGAAACCTCTTCTTCCTGTGGAGCATGGATCACCATCACAGTGGATCCCAGGATGCTCAGGATGCAGCCAATCTTCCCGTGAACATTCAGCTGCTCATTCAGGAAGATGGAAGACAGAACTGCACTGAAAAAGAAAAAAAAAAAAAACCTCCAAAACCAATTAGGA